TTTGAATACCCAACGAAAAATACAGCAATAAGGGCGTAAAAGTGGAAGCCACGCGAATTAGGGTTTTATTGTGTACAGAATCCGGAGTTGCTGTCCCGGATGACATTGACCGTAGGCGAAGCCCAGGCTGATGTGGACTGCGTCCAGTCAAGCCTAAGGGTGTCTGCAAGTCTGATGCACCTCTCTGTGTGAGATGTGACAATTACTTATAAATGATTGTGAAACGAGTTCGTGTTGCATGATTGGTGTGTTGGATTTGCCCGATGGGTGTCGCGTGATGTGACAGTTGCTTATAAGTAATTGCGAAATGAGTTTCAGTATTGCATGATTTGTGCGTTGGATTACTCGAACGGCGTCGAGTATTGAGGTCACCTACTGCGTGGCCGCAGGGTGGCGCGTTCAGGTGTTCTCACGTGCGTATACGTACGTGTGTATGCGAGTGAATATCCGTCAAACGGGTTAAGGTCATCGAGCGGGAACAGGCACCAGCACAGACACATGACCTTGAGGCCGCTCTCATTGAACAAGGGATCATTTTTGGCTGTCGGCCGCGGGAGCGATTCGTCAGGATAGCCTTCAAGGTTTTGTCGGCAGTTAGTTAGGTTGACTCCTACCAGTTGATGCCTTTGCTAGGTAAGCAATCCTGTCCTGTGACTATCTGAGTGATTGTGTGTTGCTGTTTGATTGTAATAATGCCTGCACGCCTGTGACCGCTCGCAGCGAGAGGTTGACTGATACTGACGCAACAGGGTGGTAAATAAACGATAGCTATCAGATGCAGCTGAATAAAATCTGGCTAATAGCTTTTTCTGACTAAGTCCTTTTCTTTTCAATTCCGAGGTCCTGGGGTTTCCCCCACCCCTTTTTGTAGTCACGCCCGTAGTGTTCCTCTGGAAACGCCTAACACCACCGGCCACTCTTAAAATAAATGTTTGCCTGATAAGTACGAGTGTCAAAGTTCGCGCAATGGACTTCGTTCGTCGCGGTTATCTTTTGTTATATTCACTTCAGTCAGGGCAAGTCCACTTCTAAATCAAGCGAATTTTACCAAGAGTGCAGACACGTCAGTTGCCTATCGGGTCTGAAAATGGTGTTGATTATTTGTGCCGGTTTGAAATGTTAGATTCCTTCCGCGATAAATATAAACCTTTTCCTCCCTTAGTGTACTCAGTCTTGGTTGGGATTCAGTCTTATGATAGTCTCCATTTCCTATATTGGGTCTTTACCTCACATTTTGTAGGGTAAAGACGGAGCTGCGTCTGCCGAGTTCTTCGCGTGTGCCAGCTGGTAGTAATTGCGACTCGGAGACGGAGTGTACCAATCGCCAACAGTGTCCCATCTGTCGTGATCCCTGTCCCCGCAGCTCGGACGCCTGGGACGTGCTGTCTGAGGCGGACACAAGGACCTGCAAAGCTGAAATGGCCATAACCGTGCTCAGCCTCATCAAGAATGCCGGCTCACCGTACAAGCAATCCAAGCCTCTGTAGTCTGCATGCAACCCTCTCATTCCCCTTAGA